TTACATTAACTATACCTTATTTTCGAGCCTTGTCACCGCTGAGGCGGATCATACGACGGTGTAAGCTCTACACGATGCCACAAACCGGAAATGAAATATAGTTTACCTTATTAATACACAAAATGTAATTATAAAATTTTGAATAATATGGAACAAGAATGGACATACCATTTTAAATATCTTTTTTTTATTTTATTACAAACATTTTTTTACATACATACAATTTTATTCTCTTTCATTGATATAATATGTGGCCATACGACAGTATAGACAGCTCTATAGAATACGGGAACGATAAAAATTATAAGTTTAATTTAAGAGTTTCTACTATTTCATATACGTATGCACTTTTTTAAAGCTACAATGTAGAATTAAGTGTTATAGGAACATTAGTGTCTGTAACAGCATTGAACATTTGCCAGGCGATTTGTCACTTCGCTAGTTGGAGTGATTTGTCCTTCACGAAGATAAACTTAATCTAATTAATAAATGATAAATAAGTAAGTGGAAAACTAGCTTTCACATATATGGTACACCAAAATAGCGGTTTCAGAATTTTCGATTCATTCATTTAATTTTAATCGAAATTTTATATTTGTGATGAAATTATCCTGCTTTACCGTACCGTACCAGTAAGAAAAGTGGAGGGCTGTCCCACTAGATGGAGTAACGATCTGGTAAGAGATGGAGGGAGATGATGGACACAAGTGGCTCGGAACCATAATTTGCGTCATTCCCTGGGGGAAACCTATGTTCACCAGTGGACTTATAATGGATGATGATGATAAATTGTTTAAATTGATTAAGATTACTTTTTATGACTATTATTTTTTATGTGAGAAAGAAATTTATTTCCCAAAAGAGTATTCACTCGCTTACTGAGAAACATTAAAGAAAAAAAAGTTATATTTGCTTTGCGTAGGCATAACATATCTGCGGACTTACGTATGTATTAAATACATTGAGCTATTATGTACTACGTACTAGAGGCGACACTGCATTCAGCTACTCTGTTCCACTCCGTACACTACACGCACTTTAATCAGTCAGTCGCACAGAGTACCTTTGGTCACTCTCTAGGCGCTTGTGGAGTTGTCACGTGTTGTGTTGATTTAAAAAAAATCTTTTGATAAAAATATGCCGTTGTGTGTACTTAGATATTGCAAAAATAATTCAAAAAATGTCAGTAAAAACCAAGGAATTATTTTTCATCGGTTAATAAAATACTTAATCAATAAAAAGTATTATATTAATAATACTTTTTTATTGATTAAGTAATAAAACAAATTATTTATATAATTAATAATAAAACAAATTATTTCTAAGACGCCATCTCGTGTCATGGAAAATAGATTATGAAATTAATATGTACAGATACGACATTTCTGTGGGTACTTAATAATTTCTTTGGGTGTTGGGTATAGGACGAATTTATTATTATACACATTTTATTTATAGAAACATATATAAGTTATTAGACTCGGCCTCTGACTGTGGTTGCTATTGGACGTGTGTTAGTTACACTAAATATTCTTTTTAAATTAACAGTCAACTTTAATTAACAGCGAAGTACTAGGAGAGCATATAATCAATATGGTGTCTATCCTCGACTGTGTGTGTCGTAGTACATTTGTTTTTTGCGCATCAGCTGCCCGCGTGTTGTCTTTTGTTCTCCGAAGTTCTGCCACAAAGAAAACTACGAACTTAAAATAAAAGAACATTATGTCGATAATACGTAGATCACCCCCAGGAAGTAAAGTGCACCAAGTGTCGTCGGAGAGTGATACCTATTTCAATCATTGAACCTGAAAATTCACTGAATTATGTAGGGAGGCGACAGGAAAGACTCAGAAATGAAGATCAAAGGAAAGGTATTGTTGATTCCCTTAAAGATGAACTATTATCCATGCTCACCAATTGGAAGAAGGATCAAGATCTTATTTTGAGTAAATTGTGTTCAGATATTGCCGAACTTAAGCAACAAAACGCCAACATACAATCAACTAATATTGAAATGGAAAAGGCGTTAACGTCTAGTATGAAGATATGAACACTAAAATTATCAATTTAAAACGTGAACGAAAGGAAAATTATAATTATATACTCAGTCTGTAAAATAGATTAGAAGACATGCAAAAAAGGCTTAAGTCCACAGTCATCGAGTTCTGTAATTTACCTACTCCAACACAAAACATAAAGCAAGAGACACAACAAGACTTATGTGATCTGGTTCAAAAGATTTGCGATGTTTTAAATGTAAATTTTCACCCATCCGAGATAAAAGATATCTATAGAATTAAAAATAAGTTATAGAATTAAAAATAAGTTGATAAGTAGCCGGTATGTCTACTGTTATCACTGAATTAACTTCGGTACTGTCAAAAAATAAGATTTTAAGTGGAGCGAAAGAGTTTAATAAAATTAACATTAGTAAACTTTGCTCAAATCTATTGGTCTTTCTAGTTCCATAATGCCGATATATATATATATATATATATATATATATATATATATATATATATATATATATATATATATATATATAAGAGTCTAACAAAGAAGGACCGAAAACTTTATATTTTAGCACGTGATACAGCTAAGACAATGAATTACCGATATTGCTGGACTAACAAGGGCCGGATTTATTTGCGGACAACTGAAGGTGGCGCTCGGATAGAAATAAAAAATGAAAATGATATTGCAAATGTAAAAAATATAATATGACTAGGTACATTTATAATATTATACATTACCTATTTAATTATGATTTCTTGTAAATTGCTTGCATCTCTAACTAAGTGTGTCTCTGGCTTTTTTTAATATAGATATTGCCAACGGGTTTCATTATACAAATACTTTAGGTTATCTTGATCTACTTGTTCATCATGGACTTTTTCCTGGTCACAACTTCCCAACTCATGGTTCTACCAGTCTTGATCATGTTAATTTAAAAACTGCTTTTTCCGCTAAGTTTCTAGTTCTGGAAACTACTGTAACAGACCACTTCGCCGTTATGTTTGCCCTCTCAAAAATTAAAATTAAATTAAGTAATCGTAAATTTATAAAAAAAATTAAAATAGGCTTATTCATGAATTACGCTGTATTGACTTTAACTCTGTATACGCAACGAATGACCCTAACTTAGCTGTTAAATTCTTGGTCGAACCTATTATTTCAGCTATAGCCAACAATACCAAAATTTTATTTCTGTCTTGTAGACGTAGATCTATTAAGTCTTGGATCACTCTGGCTTTTTTGAAATGCATGCGAAACAGAGATATAGTATATAAAAAATCAAAAAAGACTCATCAAACCAGATTCTTAGAATTACTTATAAAAGATAGCGCAACATCTGTACCAACCTCCTGCAAAATGCAAAAAGTAATTATGAGAAGCTGGAATTTCAAAGAGCCGGCAAAAACTCCAAGCAACTGTGGAAAGTCATTCAAACTGTTACAAATTTATCTAAACAGCAATCAACGGCGTCTGATCTCCTAGACATCAACGAAATGAATACTCAAAAATCTGTTCAAGATATTAACACATATTTTTCAAACATAGGAAAATCACTGGCAGAAAAATTAGATAGAGGCTCGGTAATACTACCGGCATCCGTTACTCATTCTAAATCCTTTGTTTTGCTTGAAACTGACGAGAGCGAAGTCGAACGCTTGATTATGTCTTTGGATAACAACCTAACAGCTGGTTGGGATGGTATTTCTTCAGAATTCTTAAAGAAGCACAAAAATGTTATTATTTCACCTCTTAAATATGTTTGTAATTTGAGTCTTCGGACAGGTATTTTCCCTGATTTGTTCAAAAAAGCAATAGTTCGCCCTATTTTTAAATCCGGCGATCGAAATCGTATCGAAAACTACAGACCTATATCAGTTTTGCCTACGATGTCGAAGATCCTCGAGAAAATAATTAACACAAGGCTTGTTAATTATTTAGAGACTAATAAACTGTGTTAAAAATGTGTTGCCTTGTTTCTTGACCTTACAAAGGCGTTTGATACTGTTTCGATACCTATCCTAATTTCAAAACTTCAATCTTTAGGAGTAAGAGGAATTCAGTTATCTTTATTCAAAAGTTATTTAAGTAATAGAACACAATGTGTTAGGATTGGTCCTTATAATAGTTCTGCAAATTACATACGGTGTACCGCAGGAAAGTGTTCTCGGCCTAAGTTTGTTTTTAGTACATACAAATGAATTGTGTAACATTAATCTTTTAAATGTGATGATCTTTTCCTACGCAGATGATACTGCACTTGTGTTTCATTCGAATACTTGGACTGAAATCTATTCCCTTACTCTAAAAGGGTTTGACATTGTAAAGAAATGGTTAAACGCGCATTTACTTACGTTGAACATAAATAAAACAAAATTAATAGACTTTTCTATTCGACACACAAAAAATTCAATAACAAACTCATTACAAATCGCTGCTAAGTCTTCCGTTGATATTTTTTTTATAAAAAAAGTAAAAATCTCTAAAAATAATCTTTAAAATATCTTGGAATAATAATTGATAATAACCACACATTTAAACCTTACATTGAACACCTTTCAAACAGAGTCCGTAAACTTATCTACATTTTTAAAAAATTACGTCAATCTGCAGGTTCAGAAATCATGAAGATGGTTTATATGGCATTGTGTCAATCAATTTTATCTTATTGCATATCCACGTGGGGTGGTGCGGCTAAAAGTAATTTTATACAACTTGAACGGGCACAGAAAGCTGTTTTAAAAGTATGTTGTTTTAAACCGCGTATGTTTCCTACAGACAAAATTTACGACTATTGACAAGTACTAACGGTTAGACAATTATTCATTTTAACCACCGCTCTCAAACAACATGTCTCAACCAAATATATCCCTGAATGGACACGACGTAACCAACTAGTTGCAAGGTCTACTCAAGTTAAAACTGCATTTAGTCACAGATTCTTCATATTTCTTGGTCCCTATTTATATAATAAATTTCGTAAAACCTTATCCATCTTTTCTCGAAATCAGTATGAGTGCATTATTCTGAACTGGAGCAAACCTATGCAAAAAAGAAAGTCTTTTAGAAGTTGTCGTGTAAAATACACACACACATATAAACATACACACACACACACACACACACACACACACACACACACACACACACACACACACACACACACACACACACACACACACACACCACACACACGCACCCACGCACGCACGCACGCACGCACGCACGCACGCACGCACGCACGCACGCACGCACGCACGCACGCACGCACGCACGCACGCACGCACGCACGCACGCACGCACGCACGCACGCACGCACGCACGCACGCACGCACGCAAGCACGCACGCACGCACGCACGCACGCACGCACGCACGCACGCACGCACGCACGCACGCACGCACGCACGCACGCACGCACGCACTCACGCACGCACGCACGCACGCACGCAAGCACGCACGCACGCACTCACGCACGCACGCACGCACGCACACACACACACACACACACACACACCCACACACCCACACACCGGCGGACGATGCGGGCTGTATCAAGGAGCACCGTCTTCTGCATTTGAGCCCGGAGCGGTCCGTCACAGAGTCCCAGTCGCCTCAGATGACCAAAGAGGCTAACTGGGATTAGCCCATTCGCAGAGACGACTACAGGAATAATTTCGGCCGGCAGACCACACCACATGTCGGTCACCTCGTGAGCCAGGTCCAGATATTTTGATTGCTTATCTGTTTCGGCTTTCACGAGGTTCTCGTCATACGGGATGGTAATATCGACCAAAAATATTCTTGACTGTGCCCGGTCCATCGGCACAATATCAGGCTTATTCGCAAGAATAGTCCTGTCTGTGATGATGGCCCGGTCCCAGTAGATCCTGGGGCGGTCATTCGTTCGAGCACGGCTTCCGGCAAGTAATTGTAATACGGCAATTTCCGGTCCACGAGTTCGTATTTCAGAGCGAGCTCCTGGTGTAGAATTCTGGCTACTAGGTTGTGCCTGTGCAAGTACTCAGAGTTAGAAAGCGCCGAACAACCGGAGATGACATGCCTGAGTGACCCCACGGGATGGCGACAAGCTCGACAGACGTCGACAGTGCCATCCTTTAGGATGTATCTCCGACAGTTGTTGGTCTTAATAACCTGATCCTGTATTGCACAGACAAAACCCTCGGTTTCCCCGAAGAGATCACCGAAACGTAGCCAGTTGAGGGAGGTGACTGTATCCACGAAGGGCTCATGTAGAGCCTTGTAGTACCTCCCGTGGAGCTCCTTCTCCTTCCATACGGTCTCCCGGTAGGAAATGCTAAGCACTGCTGGGTCCTGCCATTGCTCGTTGGCTAAGGATAGAGGGGTAAGCTCTTTATCACTAGAAATGACGTCATTATAGAATGGATCATCCGATCTCGCCAAGAAGTATTGACGGAGACTGCACACTTCGCGATTATGCATGGTGAGCGCGCTCAGAAAGCCACGCCCACCATACTTTCGCGGCAAGTACAGCCTCATTACCGACGATCTCAGATGATGCATCCTATGGGACGTCATGGTAGTGCGGACTTTTCTATCCAGGGCATTAAGCTTAGTCTGAGTCCACCTGAGTATGCCAAAGGTATACATGAGGACAGGCATGACCCAGCAGTTATATGTGTGTGACTTATTCACACCGGACAAAAGGCTGTTAAGCACTTTGGTCAAGCGTGCATAAAACACGTCGCAAACTGACTGTTTCATACCAGCCTCATCGATACCGATGTTCTGTGACATACCCAGGTATCGGTATGTTTCAGCCTCAGAAAGGGTCCTTAAGTTGACGGGCATAAACAAGTCTATGCCCTTAGAGTTAGCAACCCTTCCCCTTTCAACATGAAGGACCGCCCACTTATCCGTCCCCAGCTCCATTCCAATGGAACTGCTAAATTCACAAGTGATGTTTAGCAGTTCCATAAGATGGGAGCGACTGGAGGCGAATAACTTGAGGTCATCCATATAGAAAAGGTGGGTCACTTTTGTCCCTCCTTTCTGTAGCTGAAATCCCCTCCCGGAGCCCTCCAGTAAGGTACTGAGGGGGGTTAAGAGAGAGGCAGAACCAGATTGGACTCAGACAATCGCCCTGGAAGATACCCCTTCTTATCCTTATGTGCTTCTCCGCAGCCGTCATTCGCTCGCCCAGATCACAAAGGATCGTACTCCACTGCCCCATACACTGCTCGAGGAAGTCTCTAACTGTACAGTCAATCTTGTACAGCTCGAGGACCCTATTTAGCCATGTATGGGGCACCGAGTCGAACGCCTTTCTGTAGTCTATCCAGGCGGCAGAGAAGTTCCGACGGTTGCGTTTCACCACTTTGCCTATGACCGCGTCAATGAGGAGTGGTTCCTTAGTCCACGACCACCGCCCCGACATCCATTTTGAGCGCGTGACATCACCTGGTTTAGCTCCAGGTGACGAGGGATTCTCGCGCTCAAAATGGATGTCAGTGTCTTATATATGGTGGGTAGACACGTGATGGGGCGGTATTTGCTCGGGTCTGTGGTATCCTGATCTTTAGGAACCAAGTTAGTGATCCCAGTAGTGAAGAGGCTCGGGAGTGACTTCTGGTCGAGAGCCTCTTGAAACTGTCGGGCGAGCACAGCGTGACACACTATGAACCCCTTCAGCCAGTAATGATGCAGCCCGTCGAGCCCCGGACTTTTCCAGTTCGTGGCCCTACGGACCGCCTCAGCCACGTCTTCTGGCGTTATGGTGATGGGGTCCATAGGCGTAACACTCACACCCTGGCTCGCCACAACTTCCATCCAAGGGCCCTCGCTGTGGTTTACGGGCTCTGACCACAGGCCACGCCAGAATGCGATAATGTCAGCCTGATCCGGTCCTTGGCCCGCTCCACATACCTTTGGTCGCTCCAATGATTTATAGAGCCTCTTCTGATCACTATGGAAGAGACGATTCTGGTTGAACCGCATTGACCTCTCGGAAAATCGTTGAATCCGCTTCCCCCAAGCAGCGATCTTTTGCTTCAGGTCGTCTATGCGCTCCGTTAGTTTCTGCGTGATATTCGGCTGGGACAAACTGATATTTGTCCCAGCAAACGCCATCCTAACGGTGCGCATAATCCTCGGTCTATTATTACCCGACCTGAAGCTTGTCAGTCTGCCGATAAGGGCCCTTGCCTTTGCGATACGGTCCTCGATTCTTTTTCTCCAGGCTGGGATGGCACTACTTTGTGTAGTAGCGCGTCCAGCCATGGGAAGTTTGGCGCCAATAATACGGCAAACTGCCACTGCGGCGCCAAAGAGAATCGAGTCCGTCTCGCAAAGGTCCCGGCTGGCTTCCAAATAGGTCACCAGCATTGGGTTAAGAGCCCTCACGACAGCCCGATTTCGCTTGCTTAGGGGTATGCGGGGAAGTCTCGGTCGATTTTCGAGAGGGGTGCTGCGCGTTTCCAAAATCGTCTCTTCCAATATACTCCTCATTTGCTCTAGTTCGTGGGAGACTATTTCATCGTCGTTCGAATAAACCACAACTGGAAGATCCATGGCGGCTTCCACGTGTGGATGCTGGTCTGTCGAATGTGGAGCTGCATCTCCAGCCATAGCCGATTCATTCGACGACGGAATAGCCTCACGTCGTAGTCGTTCGAGTTCGGCATCATCAAATATTTTCGAGCGCATGATGTACCAAACTCGGTCTGCCAGGTTTTGTTCCGTGACGGGGATAGACGGCTCCAGCTCAGCAAAAAAGCAATGCAACAGAGACCTATACGCTATTCCCGCAGTTTCTTCCCCTTTCGCCCTATAGTACGCCCGCAATGCGTTTTCGTTCATGGATTATGTCCAATGCATGCGACGTGATCCACCAGCGGCGGGTGCCGCTTGCTGGGTCCGAGAAGACCCAGCCGACACCAAGCCTTCTGGTGGGTTTGATGAATGCGAGGGGCTGCTAGGTAATCGTGCAGCTTCTCGCGCTCGGCTGGCGGCCCCCATGCTGCCGCGTCCAGCGCCAGCTCCAGACGCGCCCCGGCGACCCCCAGGCAGCGGCCATATGCGCGTTCCTTTCTGTGTTTCTTCTATCATCCATTTTATGGGTGCCAAATAACGGGAGCCACCCAAGACCGGCACCGTGGTTGGGTTATATGCACAAACGGACCTTTGCATCTACAATTTTGCCTAGGCACGGCGCTCACATCTCTTGGCAGGATGGTGACTGACTGCGCCGACGTCGCAGTTTTGTCACATAAGTGTTACGTCAGGGGTCGATGGGGTCGTCACGTCCCTACGCCTTATTATTACGCCTTATTATTATTATTATTATTATTATTGGGGTATCTATATAATTTTCTCATCTGGTTGGGTTCTATAAATATATAATTTTAAGTTAAAATGAAAAGATAAATATACATAAATATCAATAAAATAAAATAAATACAAAAAATGCATAAATAAATAAGATCAAACAAGATGGAAGCCCTCGGCAGGGGAGACCAAACGGCCGAGGGTTAGGAGGAAAGGGAAAGAAACCGGCGGACGATGCGAGTGGTATCGAGGAACACCGCCCTCTGCATTTGAGCTCGGAGCGGTCCGTCCCGGAGTCCCAGTCACCACAGATGACCCGAGAGGCTGACTGGGATTAGTTCATTCGCAGAGACGACTACAGGAATAATTTCGGCCGGCAGACCACCCCACATGTCGGTAATCTCGTGAGCCAGGTCCAGATATTTTGTTTGTTTATCTGTTTCAGCTTTCACGAGGTTCTCGTCATACGGAATGGTAATGTCGGTCCATCAGCACAATATCAGACTTATTCGCAAGAATAGTCCTGTCTGTGATGATGGCCCGGTCCCAGTAGAGCCTGGCGTGGTCATTTTCGAGCACGTAAATACGCACGCAATACATGTAATACGGCAATTTCCGGTCCACGAGACCGTATTTCAGAGCGAGTTCCTGGTGTAGAATTCTGGCTACAAGGTTGTGCCTGTGCAAGTACTCAGAGTTAGAAAGTGCTGAACTACCGGAAATGACATGCCTAAGTGACTCACCGGGATGGCGACAAGCTCCACAGACGTCGACGGTGCCATCCTTTAGGATGTATCTCCGATAGTTGTTGGTCTTAATAACCTGATCCTGTATTGCACAGACAATCCCTCGGTTTCCCCGAAAAGGTCACCGAAACGTAACTAGTTGAGGGAGGCGACTGTATCTACGAAGGGCTCATGTAGAGCCTGTAGTACCTCCCATGAAGCTCCTTCTTCCATACGGTCTCCGGGTCGGAAATGCTTTGTACTGCCGGGTCCTGCCATTGCTCGTTGGCTAAGGATAGAGGGGTAAGCCCTTTATCACTAGAAATGACGTCATTATAGAATGGATCACCCGATCTCACCAGGAAGTAATCACGGAGGCTGCACACTTCGCGATTATGCATGGTGAGAAGACGCTCAGGAAGTCACGTCCACCATGCTTTCGCGACAAGTACAGCCTTATTACCGACGATCTCGGATGATGCATCCTATGGGACGTCATGGTAGTGCAGACTTTTCTATCTAGGGCGTTGAGTTCAGTCTGAGTCCACCTGAGTATGCCAATGGTATACATGAGGACACGCATGAACCAGCCGTTATATGCGTGTGCCTTATTCACACCACGGACAAAAGGCTGTTAAGCACTTTGGTCAAGCGTGCATAATACATGTCGCAAACTGATTGTTTCATACCAGCCTCATCGATACCGATGTTCTGTGACATACCCAGGTATCGGTATGTTTCAGCCTCGGAAAGTCTTCTTAAGTTGACGGGCATAGATAAGCCTACGCGCTCAGAGTTAGCAACCCTTCCCTTTTCAACATGGAGGACCGCACACTTATCTTTTCCCAGCTCCATTCCAATAGAATTGCTAAATTCACAAGTGATGTTTAGCAATTCCATAAGATGGGAGCGACTGGAGGCGAATAATTTGAGGTCATCCATATAGAAAAGGTGGGTCACTTTTGTACCTCCTTTCCGAAGTCTGAAATCCCCTCCCAGAGCCCTCCAGTAAAGTACTGAGAGGGTTCAAAGAGAGGCAGAACCAGATTGGAATCAGACAGTCGCCCTTGAATATACCCCTTCTTATCCATTATGCGGCTTTCCGCAGCCGTCATCCGCTCGCCTAGATGACAGAGGATCGTAATCCACTGCCCCATACACTGCCCGAGGAAGTCTCGAACTGTACAGTCAATCTTGTACAGCTCGGGGACTCTCTTTAGCCATGTATGGGGCACCGAGTCAAATGCATTTCTGTAGTCTATCCAGGCGGCGGAGAAGTTCTGACGGTTGCGTTTCACCACTTCGCCAACAACCGCGTCAATGAGGAGTGTTTCCTTGGTTCCACGACCGCCGCGCCGACATCTATTTTGACCGCGCGACATCACCTGATTTGAGTCCAGGTGAGGAGTGATTCTCGCGCTCAAAATGGATGTTAGTGTCTTGTATATAGTCGGTAGACACGTGATGGGGCGGTATTTGCTCGGTTCTGTGGTACCCTGTTATTTAGGAACCAAATGAGTGATCCCAGTAGTGAAGAGGCTTGGGAGCAATTTCTGGTTGAGAGCCTCTTGAAACTGTCGGGCGAGCAAAGCATGACACACCATGAACCCCTTCGGCGAGTGAGTGATGCAGCCCGTCAAGCCCCGGACTTTTCCAGTTCGGTTCCCTACGGACCGCCTCAGCTACGTCATCCGGCGTTATGATGACGGGGTCCATGGGCGTTATACCCGCATAATAACTTGCCACAACTTCCGTCCAAGGGCCCTCACAGTGGTTTACGGGCTCTGACCACAGGCTGTGCCAGAATACGACTGTATCAGACTGATTCGGTGCTGGGCCCGTTACACCACCATTGGTCGCTCCAATGATTTATAAAGCCTCTTTTTATCACTCTGGAAGAGAATATTCGGGTTGAACCGTGTCGACCTCTCGGTGTATCGCCGAATTCACTTTCCCCAAGCAGCGATTCTCTACTTCAGGTCGTCTATGCGCTCCGTCAGTTTTTGCATTATATCCGGCTGGGACAAACTAACATTTGTCCCAGCAAACGCCATCCTGACAGTGCGCACAATCCTTGGCCTGGTATTGCCTGACCAGAAGCATATCAGTCTGCCGTTGAGGGCCCTAGCCTTTGCGATACGTTCTTCAATTCTTATTCTCCAGGCTGGGATAGCACTACTTTGTGCAGTAGCGCGTCCATCCGTGAAGAGTTTGGCGCCTATATAACGGCAGACTGCCAGTGCGGCGCCAAAAAGAATTGATTCCGTCTCCCAAAGGTCCCAGCTGGGTTCCAATAGGTCACCAGCATTGAGTTCAGAGCCCTCACGAAAGCCCGATTCCGCTTGCTTAGGGCTATGCGGGGAAGTCGCGGTCGATTTTCGAGAGGTGTACTGCGTGTTTCCACAACCGCTTCTTCCAATGTACTCCTCATTTGCTCTAGTTCCAGTTCCTGGGCGATTGTTCCATCATCGTTTGAATCAACCACAACTGGGGTATTCACGACGGCATCCACGTTTGCCGTTTGCTCTGCAAGTTATGGCGCCGCATCCTCAGCCGTAGTATTTTCACCCGGTGAAGGAACAGCCTCACGTCGTAGTCGTTCGAGTTCGACAACATCAAATATATTTGAGCGCAAGATATACCGAACTAGGTCTACCAGGTTTTGCTCGGTGACGGTTATAGATGGCTCCAGCTCAGCAAAAAGACGATGCATCCTAGCCCGATATGCCAAACCTCCAACTTCTCCACCTTTTACCCTAAAATACGCCTGCAGTGCGTTGGTATTCATTTTGATTGTCCATTGCATGCCGCGTACTCCACCAGTGGCGGGTGCCGATTGCTGGTCCCGCGTAGACCCTGCCGACACCAAGCCAGATGGTAGGGATGATGGATGCGAGGGGCTGATGGGTTTTCGCGCAGTACCTCTCCCTCGGCTGGCGTTTCGCATGCTGTCGCGTCCAGCACCAGCTCCAGACGTGCCCTGGCGATCTCCAGGCAGCGGCCCTTTGCGCGTTTTTCCGTATTCCATCATCCATATAATTGGGCGCCATTTAACGGGAGACACCCAGACTCAGCACCGTTTTATGGTGTGGCCATGTGCACAAGCGGGCCTTTGCACCTTCATTTTTTGCCAAGGCACGGCACTTAAACCTCTTGGCAAGGTGCTGACTGACTACGCTGACGTAGCGGTTTTGTCACATAACTGTTACGACAGCGGGCGATGGGGTCGTCACTTCCCTACGCCTTTTTATTATTATACAATCTGCATTAACGCTCCTTTTAGGGTTTTAAGATTCGGCATCGGCTGATCGCAAGATGCCGCTCTTTTGTTTAAATTGTGAGGTGGCGACGTACTATCGCTGTCGTATCCAAAATTGTGGCTTTTTTGAATTTTGTTCCTCACCCTCACTGAAATGCCCAGCTTAGATAAATTGTCAGTAAGGGATTTAGGAACAACTCCCGTGGTAGAGAGATTCAGCAGGACGATAAGTACCTGCTGCTGTCGCCTTAACTGTCGGATTTCTTCAGCTAACCGCTGGTACTTAATTAACTTTTCAGTGCTGTACTTCTACACATTATGCGAGTTTGGAATGCCAATATCAACCAACCACGTCCGAAACTCCTCCTTTTCTACTAATATTATGTCCGGTCGATTATGCTCAACGGTCCGGTCAGTTAAAACTGACCTGTCCCAATAAAGTTGGGCAGAATCATTCTCGAGTACCGGGGATGGATTGTATTTCCAGTAGGGTTCTGTCTCCTTAAGGAGACCGTATTTTAGTGCCAGCTCTTGGTGCACAATTTTTGCCACGTTGTCATGGCGCTGGGTGTACTCGGTTCCAGCAAGAGCCTGGCAGCCGCCAGTTATGTGCTGGATGGTCTCTGGCTTTTGATGACACCGTCGGCACTGTTCATCTTCGATACCTGTCTTGACAATGTACTTAAGATAATTTTTCGTAGGCATAACCTGATCCTGAATCGCCACCATGAATCCCTCAGTTTCAGCAAAGATCTCACCATGTCTGAGCCAGTTGTTCGACGCTTCAATGTCGACATGTGATTGACTCAGTTCATTAGCGAATCGACCGTGAAGAGGTTTTGAGGCCCATTGCTGGAGTTTGGCTTCTTTGTATTCGACGTCAGTCTCTAACGGTGGGAAATTGTCGGCATGAAGGAGATCGAGTGTTGTTAGACGGTCATCAGCCTTCATTACTGCTTGATGCGGGGTAGAGGACGTTTGCGAAAGAAAATAAATTCGAAGACTCTGAATCTGTTTAGCACACAATCTACGAATATCTATCAGTCCTCTACCGCCATTGGCTCGAGATGGAGTCACCCGCTCAACTGCTGATTTTGGGTGATGTATAAGATATTTAGTAAGCATGACGCGAGTAGACCTCTCAATTTTTGCCAGTTCAGTATCTGACCATTTAACTACTCCAAACGTGTAGGTTAATACTGGGATGGCAAAGTTGTTAATTGCTTTAGTGAGGTTGCGTCCATTTAGGCCTGAGCTGAGGATTCTTTTAAGCCTTTGACTGTATACTTTAATCATCTTCGATCTAATTTCACCTTGATTGATTCGAAGTGATTGGATGATGCCTGGATATTTATAGGTGTCATTTTCTGTCATGGCGTCGATCTTTCCACCTCTCTGAAGATCGAAACCTCTAGATGACTCCATTCGTCTACGGTAAAAATTTACGGTTCTGCACTTTTCCAGTCCAAATGACATATTAATGTCACTAGAGTACTGTTCAGTGCAGTGAAGCAGCGTCTGGAGTTCTCGTTGATTTGCCGCATAGATCTTAATGTCGTCCATATACATTAGGTGAGTCAACTTTCGGTGATATCCTTGAGCCCCTTTTATAAGATATCCATGTCCTGTTTCATTAAGGAGTGAAGAGAGGGGGTTGAGTGCGAGGCAGAACCATAAGGGGCTAAGGCTGTCTCCTTGAAAGATTCCTCTTCGTATCGGTATGTACCCTGTTGTGATCTTCCGGTTAACGCCATGGTTCAGATGAAGAGAAGTTGCCCAACTTATTCGTAAAATATTCTAATAGAGTGATAACTTCAGGGTCGATCTTATAAAGCTTGAGTACCTCCCTCAACCAGGAATGCGGCACGGAGTCGAAAGCTTTCCTGTAATCAATGTAGGCCATGTGGAGTTACCGCGACTTGATACGCTTGCCCTGTGATAACTGAATCTATCGTGAGTTGTTCTTTGCATCCCAATGATCTCTTAATGCACCCTTTCTACTCTGTTGCCAGAAGAGAGTGATGGTCTAGATGTTGGTAGATCTTGTTAGAGAGGCAAGAGGTCAATGTTTTATAAAAAGTGCTGAGGCATGTGATCGGACGGTTTCGCAAGGTCCTGTGTATTTGCATCTTTGGGAAGTAGATATGTTATTCCAACGGTTAGATAGGAAGGCACCGGTTGGGGGTCGCGTAGGAAGGAAGTAAAGCACGCCGCCATTGGTTTGTGTAGAACAGTGAGCTTCTTAAGCCAAAAATTGTGGATGTTATCGGGTCCCGTGGATTTTCAGTTGGGGGGATTTGTACACCGCTTGAGTGACATCCTATTCTGTAATTTCCACATGTTGCATTTCTGGGACCTCAAGCATACGCTGTTCTTCTCTTGTGATCCATGTTGCGGTTTCATTGTGGATTACCTTCTCTGACCAGATGCTACGCCAGAATTTCTCAACTTCCTCCTTCCGCGTAGGAAGTCCACTCGTATCATTAACGCTCTGTTGGAGTCGCAGATAGAATAGCTTTTCGTTTTTTGTGAAAAGAGCGTTGTCTTCTCTTCTCTTTCGCGATTTTCGGTACCTTTTTGTCGGTTGGATTTGACTGCTAGTTTTTGTCGAAGAGTATCTAAGATGTCTACAGCTGTTCTGTTTGGTGGGTTCATACTTCGTGTGCTTAGATATCTCCTTCTGAAGCACATGATATGTGGCTACAACTTTCTTAATTCTATTGCCACGTATATACTGCGTTAGGCGGCCTAATTGGCGACGAAGTGTGTCTACTTCATGGGTAAGACGGCGCTCCCAAGCAGGAGTTTTTCTTTGAGTAGAAACCCGCACTGTAGAATCAGCAATTTGCCCCCCCCAATTGATCGGACTATCGCTACACCTGCCGCATAGGTGGTCGTATGAATTGCGTCAAATGTATTTTCAACTTGCGCTACATGTTCAGAAATTATGATAGCGTTCATCAAAATGACCACGACTGCCAATTTTTTGAATTATTTTGGCGCCCAATGGTAGGTCGTAATAAGGGGTTAGTACCCAAGAACTCAATTAAGGCTTTTTCAAATTCTTCTCTAAGGATTCGTAAGGTTTCATTCTCTACCATTTGTTTCCTTCGTTCTTCGTAAGGTGCGGTGCTTACTTCAGTAAGTCAATCCGGAATAATTTCTGATGAAGCATCTGCGGTAAGAATCAAGAATCAAGAATCAAGAATCATTTATTTGCATAAAACACGGTAAATAAGTTGTTACATCAAATAAAAGATCAACATGTTTTGTCCTGTTAGGACGTGCAAATATTTAAGTATATATCAATTGAATTTAAATTAGTTATTATTTAAACAGTACAATTATTATTATTATTATAGTATTCATATTTAAAATCATAATTCATTACAAACAGATTGAATTGAATTAAATTGAATTAAAATTAGTTATTATTTAAACAGTACAATTATTTTTATTATTATAGTAGTCATATTTAAAATCAAAATACATTACAAACATTATATTCATGGTCAAGTGAATTTATTTGTAATTAAAAAACTCCTTAATATTATAGAAAGCCCTGTCCACCAACCACTTAAAAAGTTTGCCTTTAAACTTACTAAGAGGCAATGACTTTATGTCGCTAGGCAGTTTGTTAAACACCTTTATTGCCATCGAGTAACAGCTCTTATGAGAGGTTGCCTTCTTTCTAAATGGAAGAACTAGTTTATCCTTATACCTTGTATTAAAACTAACAACATCACTATTTTTTGTAAAAAACTGTTTATGTTTTTTGACCAAGACACCCAACTCGAAAATATAAATGCTAGGAAGTGTTAGAATTCTTAGGGTTGGAAAAAGTTCTCTACAAGAATATAATGGACCAACCCTGCAGATTGCCCTTACACACTTTTTTTGAGCAATAAAAGCTTTGTTCACTGTAGATCCATTTCCCCAGAGTATTACGCCGTATCTCAAAACGGAATCTATATAGCCATGATAGGCGAGTAAAGCAATTTTTTGAGATGAGGTCCTTGACAATCTTCGCAATGGGTAAATGAACTTATTGATTTTTGTACATACTTCTATAATATGTCTTTGCCAAGTACAACCATCATCAATATGTATCCCCAAGAATTTTGTATTTTGAACCTCCTCTAGTTTTTGTCCATTTATATTAATGTCAATAGTTTCTTTATATTTCCTTAGGTTAAATTGTATTATTTTTGTTTTGCCTAAATTTACTTTGAGTCTATTCTTGTATAGCCAATCTGTGACACTTATAACGGCTGTCATTATTTTATCATTGTAATTGGATTTAGTGTCAGTACTTATTATGATTGAAATGTCGTCAGCAAAAAGTACAGACTTGCAATTGATAAAGTCAGGTAGGTCATTAACGTAAAGCAAAAAAGAGAAGAGGCCCCAGGACACTCCCTTGTGGTACTCCACTACGGTTGTGTTTATATTTGGATCTGTACGATATCATTACATTATTAACGTCTATATCATTTATTTCAACACACTGTTCTCTACCGCCTAGATAAGATTTTATCCACTGTAATGCTGGGCCCCGAATGCCATAGCAGTACAGCTTATCAATTAAGATATCATGACACACTACATCGAAAGCTTTACTCATATCAAAAAATACTGCAGATACTAGGTGATCTTTGTCTACACAATTAATTATTTCGGTAACCAATGAATAGGCTGCTAATGTGGTCGATTTATTTCTTTGAAATCCATTTTGCTCTACTTTTAGAATGTCAAATTTTGTTAGATAATCGTATATTCTAGAATACATAGTTTTTTCAAAGATTTTAGACAGTATAGGTACTAAAGTAATTGATCGATAATTATTTATGTCGCATTTATCATCCTTTTTATGTAGCGGTTTTACTATTAAAAACTTGAGAGCTGTTGGAAAGGATCCTTCTATAAACGATATGTTAACCAAATGTGACAGAATTGGCGATAATTCTTCAGCACACATCTTAAGGATTCCAGTTGCTATGTTGTCGTAACCAACTGATAGTGTGTTTTTCAACGAAAGTATTACTTTTTTTATCTCATATTTATTTGAAGGACGCAAAAAAATACTTTTCATATTATGTTTGGTTAATGTTTTATCAATTTGCTTCATTTTATTCGGTGAATGAATAAAATATTTGTTTAAATTCTCGGCCATTAGTATTTTGTCACTAGTAACTTTATTATTTATTTTTAATTCTTTAATACTTTTTGGGATATTATTAGCTACAGTTTTGTTTTGGACAATGTTCCATGCTGCCTTGCATTTGTTTTTACTATTTGAGATATACTTGTAATTACTAATTTTTTTGGGATTTACTTATAACTTTTTTTAGAATGTTAGTATAAAGGTAATATTTTGACTTGTTTGATATTTTTTCATTAAGTCTTGATGTATAGTAAATGTACCTCAACTTCCTTTTTGTTTTACAAGACTTTCTAAGTCCTGCTGTTATCCATTTAGGGCCACAAGTTTTTATCTGACGTTTAATTTTAATCACGGGAAAGCATAAGTCATAGAATAATCTAATTATGTCATGAAAATTACTAAAAGCTAGGTCAAAGTTTGATTCGTCATATATGTCATTAAATGTCAGTTGCTTCATTATTTCTTTAAATTTTCTCCTATTGTCAGTGCTATAGTCTCTTCTAAGTACCCAATATGTATTTATGTAAGTTTTATATTTATAAGGAAGTTTTATACTAAGCGTTTGACCCGTGTTATGGTCAGATAACCCCAATTCATATATTTTACCTACGGCTTCTCGGTCATTGCTTATAATATGATCTATACAAGTTTTCTGTCTGGTAGGGTTTTGTATGTGATGAGTGAGGTTATTGTTTAGTAAAATGTCTTTGTAGAATTCAGAAGCTTGTGTGCACTTAAGTGTGTCTATATTAAAATCTCCGGCTATAATTATTTTAAAGTCATTATATCTGTCACAAATATTATAAAGCATGTCTTGAAATTTATTTAAAAAGTCTGTTACATTGGACTTAGGTATTCTATAGATGCAGATAACACAACAGCGATGGTCTGGCAAAATAATACCACATACCTCAAAAGTGTTTTCTGCTTGATATTTATTAATTATTGTAAGATCTACAAAGTTAAAATTATTTTTACAAAGTATGCATACACCACCTCGTTTTACGTCAAGCCTTGAATAACTATTTGCAATAGTGTAGCCATTCAAATGCACACACACTTCTTCACCTGCTTTCAGAAATGTTTCACTAAGGCATATAACATCTAATTCATATCCTATTTCACGAAGAAAATCAGTTATGTATATCTGCAACAAATCAGTTTTATTAAGAAGTCCAGCTATGTTTTGGTGAAAAATTGTAAGGATTTGGTTTTTACAGACGAAAAAAATTGTCACGTTTTGACCCTTCAGCTGTTACTTCGATATTAGCGTTTACAATTTCGTTCCGGTGCCTCGCATAATTGTTTACATAGCAAAAATAATCTAAGATAGTTTTCTGTGTGATTTTTCTACTTTTCTGTTTATTGACATTTTTATGGGGGAAACGGATTAAATCATGACGTTTGTTAAAGCTAAGGAACTTTTCGTTGTAGTCGAGGCTATCTATTAAAAAATTTAATTTAGTACAAATGTCAAAGCGTTTTGTTTTATCGTCAATGTGAATGAAATGACAATTATTGAAATTGTTACATAGAAGGCGAATGTTCCTATTCAACAGGTTTTCATTCAAAAAAACATTTTTTAGTACGCTTATTACAATAATAGTTAAGTTCTGGTTTTTTTTCAAAAATGCAGATAGTTCTAATAATACTTTAGTGGGGTTACAGTCATTTTCACCAACATTAATTACTATTTTATCTTTATTATTAAAAACAACATTTTCGCATCCGTTAAGAATTTCTTCTGTAGGCGCTTGCGGTTTTGTATCTGCTGTAATACAATATTTTTCATATTTGCTGTTGAGTCTTGATCGAATCAGTGAAGAAGCTAATCCTACACATTGTTGCCCTCCAAATATGTGTATCTTATTTAAAGTTTCTTTAGCCGTAGTAGCAGTTTTAGGCGACGTGATATCTTCTAGTGACGTATCCTTATCGCTTTCCTTAGTTTTAGCTTGTATTGCAAAATCAGGGCAGTAGCTTGTTTGTATTGAGGAATCGTCAAGGGATTTGTTTTGTCGCATAAATGTTGAGTCTCCTTTTATTTTTTGACTTGCGCTTTCTGACACTCCGTGAACATATGGCAGTTAAGTGCTGAATTCGATTTTTTTGCTCATGGACTTCTTTTTGTAATACATTCTTTTCCATGTGCAAGTTTTCTATTTCTGTATGTGCACTGGCAAGTTTACTATTCAATTCCTCAATTTTTTGCTTTAATTGAATATATTCGTCGTCATAGTCACGAGTAGAAAGATCAGGAAGGCTTCTTCTGGGAGATAACGAAATATCCTCCAAAGAATTATTATTTTCTTCTAGTAATGAGTGACCTTTTACGTCATTAATTATAGGTTCGTATTCATTTTCCCTAGTAAATTGCTTTCTAAGAGTTATGTTGTCTGTCATAATATTAGAATTTTTTTGTGCTGTACTCGTATATGCTTACTCTCGTATATGGTAGGCTTTTGGGCACTAATATCTTCAGATACATCGCGACCAGGATAGAGCTCTTTAGCAACTTCTGTTTTTGAGTTGCTCCAGCCATTCCGTCGCAATCTTGCAGGTACGCAGAATCTGACATTTCTGGTCCATGACTCTTTGTTCTGTCACTCTTTCACGGAGTTCCGGATATTTCAGAACAAATAGTCGATACATCTCGGCCCTATGTCCTATCAGGTGTTCTTCCAATCTGGTTGCTTTATAGTAACAGCGCATGACATCTTCATTCATTTGTACATTCCACGTCAAACGCTGTCGAGGGAGACCCGCCTTAGTGGTCATGGGTAGTGAGCCACTAAAAACACTTAAGGTGGGGGGATGACTGAGAGGGGGTGAAGGATTGTTTGGAGGGGGAGGGGGAGTCAAGGATGTCAGCAGTAGTATTTTGATTGACCGCAGCCTGCTGATGTAACTGACGGCCACTGACGGTTCGCATGCTGCTACGTCCAGCGCCAGCTCCAGACGTGCCCCGGCGACCCCGGGTAGCGGCTTTACTGCCACCGAACACGGTACAACATACTTCAGCGGAGGGTACAGACTGATTGCAGCAGTAAAAATCAATAATACTTTAAAGAATAAAGAAGATTGACTTTCACTACTGGGCGGTGGGGTCGTCACATCCCAACGCCTTTATTATTATTACTATTGTTATTGGGGTATCTATATAATTTTCTCACCTGGTTGGGTTCTATAAATATATAATTATAAATTAAAATGAAAAGATAAATGTACATAAATATCAATAAAATAAAATAAATACAAAAACTACATAAATAAATAAGATCCAACCAGATGGGAGCCCTCGGCAGGGGAGACCAGACGGCCGAGGGTTAGGAGGAAAAGGAAAGAAACCGGCGGACGATGCGGGCAGTATCGAGGAGCACCGCCTTCTGCATTTGAGTCAGACGTCGACAGTGCCATCCTTAAGGATGTATCTCCGATAGTTATTGGTCTTAATAACCTGATCCTGTATTGTACAGACAAAACCCTCGGTTTCCCCGAAGAGGTCACCGAAACGTAGCCAGTTGAGGGAGGCGGCTGTATCTACGTGAGGCTCATGTAGAGCCCTGTAGTACCTCCCATGGAGCTCCTTCTCCTTCCATACGGTCTCCCGGTCGGAAATGCTCTGTACTGCCGGGTCTTGCTAGAATGGATCATCCGATCTCGCCAGGAAGTAATGACGGAGGCTGCACACTTCGCGATTATGCATGGTGAGCGCGCTCAGGAAGCCACGCTGACCATGCTTTCGCGGCAAGTACAGCCTCATTACCGACGATCTCGGATGATGCATCCTATGGGACGTTATTGTAGTGCGGACTTTTCTATCCAGGGCGTTACGTTCAGTCTGACTCCACCTGAGTATGCCAAAGGTATACATGAGGACAGGCATGACCCAACCGTTATATGCATGTGTCTTATTCACAACGGACAAAAGGCTGTTAAGCACTTTGGTCAAGCGTGCATAAAACACGTCGCAAACTGACTGTTCTATCTCTATTGTTATTATTATTATTATGGGGTATCTATATAGTTTTCTCATCTGGTTGGGTTCTATAAATATATAATTATAAATGAAAATGAAAAGATAAATATACATAAATATCAATAACATAAAATAAATATAAAAGTACATAAATAAAAAAAAAGCCCAACCAGATGGAGGCCCTCGGCAGGGGAGACCAAACGGCCGAGGGTTAGGGGGAAAGGGAAAGAAACCGGCGGACGATGCGGGCGGTATCGAGGAGCACCGCCTTCTGCATTTGAACCTGGAGCGGTCCGCCACGTAGTCCCAGCCGCCTCAGATGACCCGAGAGGCTGACTGGGATTAGCCCGTTTGCAGAGACGAGTACAGGAATAATTTCGGTCGGCAGACCACCCCACATGTCGGTCTACTCGTGAGCCAGGTCCAGATATTTTGTTTGCTTGTCTGTTTCGGCTTTCACGAGGTTCTCGTCATACGGAATGGTAATGTCGACCAAAAATATCCTTGACTGTGCCCGGTCCATCAGCACAATATCAGGCTTATTCGCAAGAATAGTCCTGTCTGTGATGATGGCCCGGTCCCAATAGAGCCTGGCGCGATCATTTTCGAGCACGGCTTCCGGCAAGTACTTGTAATATGGCAATTTCGGATACACGAGACCGTATTTCAAAGCGAGCTCCTGGTGAAGAATTCTGGCTACTAGGTTGTGCCTGAGCAAGTACTCAGACTTAGAAAGCGCCAAACAACCGGAGATGACATGCCTAAGTGACTCACCGGGATGGCGACAAGCTCGACAGATGTCGACGGTGCCATCCTTTAGGATGTATCTCCAATAGTTGTTGGTCTTAATAACCTGATCCTGTATTGCACAGACAAAACCCTCGGTTTCCCCGAAGAGATCACCAAAACGTAGCCAGTGGAGGGAGGCTACTGTGTCTACGAAAGGCTCATATAGAGCCTTGTAGAACCTCCCGTGGAGCTCCTTCTCCTTCCATACGGTCTCCCGGTCAGAAATGCTCTGTACTGCCGGGTCTTGCCATTGCTGGTTGGCTAAGGAAAGAGGGGGTAAGTCCTTTATTACAAGAAATAACGTCCTTATAGAATGGATCATCAGATCCCGCCAGAAAGTACTCACGGAGGCTGCATACTTCGCCATTATGCATGGTGAGCGCGCTCAAGAAGCCACGCCCACCATGCTTTCGCGGCAAGTACAGCCTCATTACCAACGATCCCGGATGATGCATCCTATGGGACGTCATTGTAGTGAGGACTTTTCTATCCAGGGCGTTAAGTTCAGTCTGAGTCCACCTGAGTATGCCAAGGTATACATGAGAACAGGCATGACCCAACCGTTATATGCGTGTGTTTTATTCACACCGGACAAAAAGGCTGTTAAGCACTTTAGTCAAGCATGCATAAGGGACGTCGCAAACTGACTGTTTCATACCAGCCTCATCGATACCGATGTTCTGTGACATACCTAGGTATCGGTATGTTTCAGCATGAGAAAGAGTCCTTAAGTTGACGGGCATAGTTAAACCTATGCCCTCAGAGTTAGCAACCCTTCCCCTTTCAACATGAAGCACCACACACTTATCCGTCCCCAGCTCCATTCCAATAGAATTGCTAAATTCACAAGTGATGTTTAGCAATTCCATAAGATGGGAGCGACTGGAGGCGAATAACTTGAGGCCATCCATATAGAAAAGTTAGGTCACTTTTGTTCCTCTCTTCCGTAGCTGAATTCCTCTCCCGGAGCCCTCTAGTAAAGTACGGAGATGATTCAGAGAGAGGCAGAACCAGATTGGACTCAGACAATCGCCCTGGAAGATACCCCTTCTTATCCATATGTGGTTCTCCGCAGCCATCATCCGCTCGCCCAGATAGCAAAGGATCGTACTCCACTGCCCCATACACTGCTCGAGGAAGTCTCCAACTATACAGTCAATCTTGTACAGCTGGAGGACTCTCCTTAGCCATGTATGGGGCACTGAGTCGAATGCCTTTCTGTAGTCTATCCAGGCGGCGGAGAAGTTCTGACGGTTGCGTTTCACCACTTTGCCAATGACCGCGTCAATGAGGATAGGTTCCTTGTTTCCACGACCACCGCCCCGACATCTATTTTGAGCGCATGCCATCACCTGATTAAGCTCCAGGTGACGAGTGATTCTCGCGCTCAAAATGGATGTCAGTGTCTTATATATGGTGGGTAGATACGTGATGGGGTGGTATTTGCTCGGGTCTGTGGTATCCTGATCTTTAGGAACCAAGTGAGTGATCCCAGTAGTGAAGAGGCTCGGGAGCGACTTCTGGTTAAGAGCCTCTTGGAACTGTCGGGCGAGCACAGCGTGACACACTACGAACCCCTTTAGCCAGTAATGATGCAGCCCATCGAGCCCCGGATTTTTCCAGTTCGGGGCCCTACGGACTGCCTTAGCCACGTTTTCAGGCGTTATGGTGACGGGGTCCATATGCGTAACACTTGCACTCTGGCTCACCACAACTTCCATCAAAGGGCCCTCGCTGTGGTTTATGGGCTCTGACCACAGGCCACGCCAAAATGCCACAGTATCAGCTTGATCCGGTCCTGGGCCCGCTCCACATACCTCTGGTCTCTCCAATGATTTATAGAGCCTTTTCTGATCACTCTGGAAAAGATGATTCTGGTTGAACTGCCTTGACCTCTCGCTAAATCTTCGAATCCGCTTCCCCCAAGCAGCGATTTTTTGCTTCAGGTCATCTATGCGCTCCGTTAGTTTCTGCATGATATCCGGCTGGGACAAACTAATATTTGTCCCAGCAAACACAATTCTAACGGTGCGCACAACTCTTTGTTTATTATTAACCGACCTGAAGCTTGTCAGTCTGCCGATAAGGGCCCTTTGCGATACGGTCCTCAATTCTTTTTCTCCAGGCTGGGATAGCTTGATGGTTGTTGGTCTTAATAACCTGATCCTGTATTTCACAGACAAAACCCTCGGTTTACCCGAAGAGGTCACCGAAAAGTAGGCAGTTGAGGGAGGCGACTGTATCTACGAAAGGCTCATGAAGAGCCTTCTAGAACCTCCCGTGGAGCTCCTTCTCCCTCCGTACGGTCTCCTGGTCGGAAATACTAAGCACTACTGGATCCTGCCATTACTCGTGGGCTAAGTATAGAGGGGTAAGCCCTTTATCACTAGAAATGACGTTATTAAGAAATGGATTATCCTATCTCGCCAGAAAGTAATCACGGAGGCTGCACACTTCGCGATTATGCATGGTGAGCGCGCTCAGAAAACCACGCCCACCATGCTTTCTCCGCAAGTACAGCCTCATTACCGACGACCTCGGATGATGCATCCTATGGGACGTCATGGTAGTGCGGACTTTTCTATCCAGGGCGTTAAGTTCTGTCTGAGTCCACCTGAGTATGCCAAAGGTATATATATATATATATATATATATATATATATATATATATATATATATATATATATATATGTGGACAGGCATGACCCAACCATTACGTATGCGTGTGTCTTATTCACACCGGACAAAAGGCTGTTAAGCACTTTGGTCAAGCGTGCATAAAACACGTCGCAAACTGACTGTTTCATACCAGCCTTATCGATACCGATGTTCTGTGACATACCCAGGTGTCGGTATGTTTCAGCCTCGGAAGGGGTCCTTAAGTTGACGGGCATAGATAAATCTATGCCCTTAGAGTTAGCAACCCTTCCCCTTTCAACATGAAGGACCGCACACTTATCCGTCCCCAGGTCCATTCCTATAGAATTGCTAAATTCACAAGTGATGTTTAGCAATTCCATAAGATGGGAGCGACTGGAGGCGAATAACTTGAGGTCATCCATATAGAAAAGTTAGGTCACTTTTGTTCCTCTCTTCCGTAGCTGAATTCCTCTCCCGGAGCCCTCTAGTAAAGTACTGAGAGGGTTCAGAAAGAGGCAGAACCAGATTGGACTCAGACAATCGCCCTGGAAGATACCCCTTCTTATCCTTATGTAATTCTCCGCAGCAATGATCCGCTCGCCCAGATAACAGAGGATCGTACTCCACTGTCCCATACACTGCTCGAGGAAGTTTCTAACTTTACAGTCAATCTTGTACAGCTCGAGGACCCTCTTTAGCCATGTATGGGGCACCTAGTCGAATGCCTATCTGTAGTCTATCCAGGCGGCGGAGAAGTTCCGACGGTTGCGTTTTACCACTTTGCCAATGACCGCGTCAATGAGGAGTGTTTTCTTGGTTCCACGACCACCGCTCCGACATCCATTTTGAGCGCGTGACATCACCTGATTTAACTCCAGGTGACGAGTGATTCTCGCGCTCAAAATGGATGTCAGTGTCTTATATATGGTGGGTAGACACGTGATGGGACGGTATTTGCTCGGATCTGTGGTATCCTGATCTTTAGGAACCAAATGAGTGATCCCAGTAGTGAAGAGGCTCGGGAGCGACTTCTGGTTAAGAGCCTCTTGGAACTGTCGGGCGAGCACAGCGTAACACACTACGAACCCCTTCAGCCCTTCAGGTTTTTTGGTTCAGGTCATCTATGGGCTCCGTTAGTTTCTGCGTGATATCCGGCTGGGATAAACTAATATTTGTCCCAGCAAACGCCATTCTAACGGTGCGCACGACTCTCGGTCTATTATTACCCGACCTGAAGCTTGTCAGTCTGCCGATAAGGGCCCTTGCCTTTGCGATACGGTCCTCAATTCTTTTTCTCCGGGCTAGGATGGCGCTACTTTTTTGAGTAGCACGTCCAGCCACGGGAAGTTTGGCGCCAATAATACGGCATACTGCCAGTAGGGCGCTAAAAAGTATTGAGTCCCATGATGGGAGGCATACTGCGCGTTTCCAGCATCGACTCTTCCAATATGCTCCTCATTTTCTCTAGTTCGAGGGAGACTATTCCATCATCGTCTGAATTAACCACAAATGGAATATTGACGGCAGCATCCATATATGCAGTTTGCTGCGCATCTTATTATTATTATTATTTGTGGTATTAGTAGTGTATTCTCATGTGGTTGAGCTGAATAAATATATAAAAGGAAATGATAAATATACATAAATATATATTTCATATACCAGCACAAATAATTAAGTAAACATAAATTAATAAAAGCCCAACCAGATGGAGGCCTTCGGCAGGGGAGATCAAACGGCCGAGGGTTATGGGGAAAGGGAGAGAAACCGGCGGACGATGCGGGCGGTATTGAGGAGCACCGACGTCTGCATTTGAGCCTGGAGCGGTCCGCAACGGTTTCCCAGCCTCCTCAGATGACCCGAGAGACTGACTGGGATTAGCCCGTTTGCAGAAACGACTACAGGAATAATTTCAGTCGGCAGACCACCCCACATATCGCTCACCTCGTGAGCCACGTCCAGATATTTTGTTCGTTTATCTGTTTCGGCTTTCACGAGGTTCTCGTCATACGGAATGGTAACGTCAACCAAAAATATCCTTGACTATGCCCGGTCCATCAGCACAATATCAGGCTTATTCGCAAGAATAGTCCTGTCTGTGATGATGGCCCGGTCCCAGTAGAGCCTGGCGCGATCATTTTCGAGCACGGCTTCCGGCAAGTACTTGTAATACGGCAATTTCCGGTCCACGAGACCGTATTTCAGAGCGAGCTCCTGGTGAAAAATTCTGGCTACTAGGTTGTGCCTGTGCAAGTACTCAGAGTTTAAAAAGCGCCGAATAACTGGAGATGACATGCCTAAGTGATTCGCCGCGATGGCGACAAGCTCGACAGATATCGACGGTGCCGTCGTTTAGAATGTATCTCCGATAGTTGTTGGTCTTAATAACCTGATCCTGTATTGCACAGACAAAACCCTCGGTTTCCACCTGAGTATGCCAATGGTATACATGAGGACAGGCATGACCCAACCATTATATGCGTGTGTCTTATTCACACCAGACAAAAGGCTGTTGAGCACTTTGATCAAGCGTGCATAAAACACGTCGCAAACTGACTGTTTCATACCAGCCTCATCGATACCGATGTTCTGTGACACACCCAGGTATCGGTATGTTTCAGCCTCGGAAAGGGTCCTTAAACTGATGGGCATAGATAAGACTATGCCCTCAGAGTTAGCAACCCTTCCCCTTTCAATATGGAGGACCGCACATTTATCCGTCTCCAGCTGCATTCCAATAGAATTGCTAAATTCAGAAGTGATGTTTAACAATTCCACAAGATGGGAGCGACTGGAGGCGAATAACTTGAGGTTATCCATATAAAAAAGGTGGGTCACTTTTGTACCTCCTTTCCGAAGCTGAAAACCCCTCCCGGAGCTCTCCAGTAAAGTAATGAGACGGTTCAAAGAGAGGCAGAACCAGATTGGAATCAGACAATCGCCCTGAAAGATACCCCTTCTTATCCTTATGTGGCTTTCCGCAGTCATCATCCGCTCGCCCAGATGACAAAGGATCGTACTCCACTGCCCCATACATTGCTCGAGGAAGTCTCCAACTGTTCAGTCTATCTTGTACAGCTCGAGGACTCTCTTTAGCCATGTATGGGGCACAGAGTCGAATGCCTTTCTGTAGTCCATCCAGGCGGCGGAGAAATTCTGACGGTTGCATTTCACCACTTTGCCAATGACCGCGTGAATGAGAAGTGGTTCCTTGGTTCCACAACCACCGCCCCGACATCCATTTTGAGCGCGCGACTTCACCTGATTTGAGTCCAGGTGACGAGTGATTTTCGCGCTCAAAATGGATGTATATTATATTTTTTTTATTTTTATCACATATATTATCACAATACTATAATAATATAGATATAAATACAATCTTTATAAATAATATTATTATTTCGGTTATCATCCACCGCGGCGAGGAATTCTAAGCCATCGGTGATGTTAGGCATCCAAAGATAGGAACCTTCTTACTATTCGAGCCGTATTTAATAAGGCCGATTTTTGAATTAATGCCTTCAGCCATTTGCCTAAACCTAACTTGGACAGGTAATCGTCCATATTTTTACCAATAAGCCCATTGACCGATACAACTATTGGTACACTAATAGTGGAATCAACGTCCCACATAGCGACAATCTCATGAGCCAGGTCGATATATTTTATTTTTTTATCATTCTCTGCTTTCACGATATTCTCGTCATGAGGAACACTGATATCCACTATTATTGCTTTGCGTGTAGTTCGGTCTATCACCACAATGTCAGGTTTATTTGCCACTATAAACCTGTCTGTGATAATTGATGATCCCAGTACAGTGTGACACTTCTATTTTCAAGGACTGGCTTTGGTTCATACTTATAATATGGAACGTCCTGTTGAGAAAGCCGTTTGGAAAGCTGTTGGTGTATTATTCTAGTTACTTGGTTATGTCTATGCAAATACTCACCATTTGATAGTTGTGAACAACCGGAAATAACATATCTGAGGGACTCTCCAGGGTGGTTACATGCGCGACATACGTCAACTTTTATAGAACTGTGCCGTCCCTCAGAATGTATCTCCGGTAGTTGTTCGTTTTAATTACTTCATTTTGTATTGCACAGATAAAACCTTCAGTTTCTGCAAAAAGGTCACCAAATTGTAATCAGTGTACTGATGCAACCATGTCTATACAAGGATTAGTCAATGCTTTATAAAAATTATTTGTCATTCCAAACATTTTTGCGTTCATCTATAGTCATAGTATGAGGCCTCTGCCAGTCCTTTGCCGACTTATTAAGCGGGGTTAACGATTTGTCATTAATCACTACGTCATTATGAATGTGTGATG